TGCTGCTTCACGTCCAACAGAAGCCCTGGTGACCCACAAGGTATGGGAGCTGGTCTGTGCCTTCACTAACAGCATTTCTCCTCTCACAGATCAAAGGAAGGACGATTCGAGTGGACCATGTGGCCAACTATCGGCCCCCCAAAGACTCTGATGACATAGATGATGTCACAAAAGCTCTCCATGCCAAGGGTTGCGGAGTTAAAACCCCACCTCATACGTCATCCGATTCCCTGTCAGAAGATGATGATGGTGTGCCTGTGAAAAAGCAAAAAGGTGAGGTGTGTTCTGCTGGTCTCAAGTGCAGGGCTCAGCCTCCACGAGGGCCCTTTGCTCGGGGGAACGCCAAGGACGGGCGTGCTTTTGGAAAGAATCATCGAATCACTGGATGTTGTGCGTGGGAAGGACCCACCAGGATGATGGAGTCCAACTCCTGTCCCTGCACAGGACAATCCCAACATTCACACCATGTCCCTGAGGGCCTTGGCCAAATGCTGCTGGAATCTTGTCAGCCTTGGTGCCATGAGCACCTCCCTGGGGAGCCTGTTCCAGTGCTCCACCACCCTCTGCCTCAAGAACCTTTTCCTCATGGCCAACCTCACCCTCCCCTGCCACATCTTCCTGCCATTTTTTTTTTGCCAGAGGAAAAAAAGCAGCATAAATTAAATGGTCTGAGTAGCTGAATCCACCCTGTTCTCCGTGGATGCAGCTGGATTTGTTGCTCTACATCTTTCAGAAGAAAAATGGAAAGATGAAGAGAACATCCAGAGTGAATCTGAATGAAGGTGCCACGTAAAGGACCAGCCTGTCCTGCAGCTACACGGGGGGGTTTAAGGGACAATTAGGGTTGTTCTGGGGTTTTTTCCCATCTGTGCAGCAAAGAACTGGAAAAGTCAGAGCCAGTGGAGAGCTGGAAGCTGTGAGTTGCAGCAGGAGCTGCTTCCTGGGGCTTGCTAACGACTTCCAAGCACCAATCCTGATTTAAAAGAGAGTTGGAGGAAAGAAAATGAGCAACAAAACTAAGAGTGGGGGGCGAAATGTTGCTCCCTGATG